TTTGAGAAAACTCAGCTTCAGCTGTGGAAACTGCCACAGTTGTTTGTTTCCTAGAACGCCAGCATATTGGGCTTTTACCATATTGTAAAAGTCCAATATGCTAGGATTCTAAGAAACAAAACACATGGCTCTGGCTCAGCGTACCTGCCCAAACGTATCTCCTTTTATGTCCCACCTTGGAGTTTAAGATCTTCTGGGGAGGCCCTGCTCTCAGCCCCACCTCTATCACAAGTGAGGCTGGTGGGGACGAGGGACAGGGCCTTCTCAGTGGTGGCCCCTTGCATGTGGAATTCACTCCCCGGGGAAATTAGGTCATCAACATCCCTCCTATCCTTCAGAAGGAAGCTGAAAACATGGATATGTGACCAGGCCTTTGGGTAATCTGGCAAACTGACAAGGTAAAGATGACCAGAATCTAGAAAGAACTATGGTAATGCTGAATGGACTTACGGATTATAGAACTCGGTGAACGTTGGCCACTAGACTGGCTTTTAGTTGTTATTGTATTAATTTGAATGTTTTAACTATTGTGGTTATTGCTGTTATGTATTTTATCTGTTGAATTGTTGGCATCGAATTGTGCCGGTTGTAAGCCGCCCTGAGTCCCCCCTAGGGGGTTGAGAAGGGCGGGGTAGAAGTGCCCGAAATAAATAAATAAATAAATAAATAAATAAATAAATAAATAAATGTGTGCTTTCCACCTACGCAACCGTGAAGCCAACAGGAATTGAAAGTCATCTGGGAAGGTCAAGAGCTTGACCATTGTTTCCATCCTAAATATCTCTGTGTTACCTTAGATCGAACACTAGTATATAGGAAACACTGCTTGAACACCAAGCACAAAGTACCTGCACACAATAACATCCTGCAGAAACTTACTGGCAGACCTTGGGGTGCAGACTCAAAATTAGTAAGAACGTCAACCTTAGACTTGTCTTACTCAACTGCCGAATATGCCTGCCCTGTTTGGCATAGGTCTGTCCATGCAAAGCAGGTGAACATAGCATTGAATGAAACATGCAGAATAATCATAGGATGTCTTAAACCTTAAGCTGGCATTGCCTCCCCCCCCCCCCCATGTGCGATTGGAAGTTGCTGCTAAATGTGAGAGAAATAAGGTTGAACACTGTGAAAGCCATCCACTACATAGCTACCAGCCTCCTCCCAGTAGACTCAAATCAAGGAAAAGCTTTATGAGAACTATCATTTATTGAGGGCCTTGGCCTATGTAAGCCGCACCGAGTTCTTCGGGAGATGTTAGCGGGGTACAAATAAAGATAATAATAATAATAATAATAATAATAATAATAATAATAATAATCACTCCTCTTGGTATCCCCCCACCAACAGCAAGGTTATCCCTCTGGGCAGCTAGACCAGGAAATCCCAACTGGCAAAATTCAATGCCCCCAACAATATCTGCAAATGCTTGCTCAAAACACCAGGTTTTAACTCTTTTTCAGAATGTTAGGGGGGAGGGGGCTGATCTGATATCCCTAGGGAGGGCATTCCATAGCTGAGGGGCCACCGCTGAGAAAGCCCTGTCTCTCGTTCCCACCAGTCGCATCTGCAAAGGAGGCAGGATCGAGAGCAGGGCCTCCCTAGATGATCTTACAGACCTAGATGGTTCATAGGGAGAGATGCGTTTGGACAGGTAAGCTGGGCCGGAACCATTTAGGGCTTTAAAGGCTAAAGCCAGCACTTTGAATTGTGCCTGGTAGCAAACTGGCAGCCAGTGGAACTGGCGCAGCAGAGGGGTTGTATGCTCCCTGAGCGCCACACCTGTTAATAACCTGGCTGCCACCCATTGGACCATTTGAAGCTGTATGACTGTGTTATAGCAGCATTTTCTCTTGACATTTTGCTTGTATTTGTGGCTGGCTGGCCTCTTCAGAGGATCACATACAATTCATTACAAAGCTTCCACTTTGCATATTTACTTCCATCTTAGCTGCTGAACTTGATGACCAAAAGTTTGGCAGTTCAATTCCAGGAAGCGGGGTGAGCTTCCACTGCTAGGTCCAGTTTCTGCCAAGCTAGCAGTTCGAAAACATGCAAATGTGAGTAGATCAATAGGTATCATTCCGGAGGGAAGGTAACGGCGCGCCATGCAGTCATGCTGGCCACATGACTTTGGAGGTGTCTATGGACAACGCTGGCTCTTCGGCTTAGAAATAGAGGTGAGCACCACCCCACAGAGTTGGACACGACTAGACTTAATGTCAAAGGGAAACCTTTACCTTCACTTTATGGTTCAAATATAAGAAAACACTTGCTCCATCTCCAATACCTCTTTGACCATTCCTGCAACACCAATTTTAAAGCCCTATATGGCTAAGGTCCAGGTTACCTACAGGTTGTGTTCTCCCATAAAATCTGCTCCTTCGGACACTGAAGTGCTCTGAGGAATGTTTATTTCAATCCACCAGAACCTGACTGGCAATTGTCACTTAGAAGAGCTTTTCATAGACTAGTCTAGACTATGATGTCATAGTTTCTGCAAATCTTATAAGTCTTGTGGCTTCTGACCTGTGAGACTGGAATTATTACACATCAGTCTATACTAGATTGCAGGAGTAGTTTCACTGGAAAAATCCCAGAACAGAGATAGTAGCTGGCAGTATCTGTGGCCACAGAATTCTCATAGCACGGATGGGTAGCACGAAGCCTATAGCTTGTACGTGTTGCTTTTGCAGTCCACAAACATTTATTCCATCATTATTTTTGGCCAAAAACAAGAATTGCAATTCTCAAAATATAGAAAATTGCCTCTTATCAAGTTTGGGTTTGGTTCACGGAGCACATTGTTGCCAATTCTGAATCTCAGCTGCGGCGTGATGCTCATCCTGATGTGGAAGTAGAAGCAATGCTCCTCTAAAATGAGGTCCAAGCTCTTATTTTAGTATATATTAGCCATCCCCTGCCACATGTTGCTGTGGCCCAGTCTGGTGATCTGGAAAATAAAGTAATGAGAAAGTGTTGGTTCTAATATATGTAATTTTTATGCTTGTGGGTAAACAGTATTTGATTGCGTTTTCTTGCCCTGGTGAAGGGAGTTGGACTGGATGGCCTTAAGTATTTTCTATTGGTCAGAGGGGTTCTGTGTGGGAAGTTTGCCCCAATTCTATCATTTGTGGGGTTCAGAATGCTCTTTGTAGGTGAACTATAAATCTCAGTAACTACAACTCCCAAATGTCAAGGTCTATTTCCCCCAAGCTCCATTTGTGTTCCTAGTTGGAATATGGAATATTCGTGCCAAGTTTGGTCCAGATCCATCATTGTTTGAGTCCACAGTGCTCTCTGGATGTACGTGAACTACAACTTCCAAACTCAAGGTCAATCCCTTCTAGTATTTTCTGTTGGTCATGGGAGTCCTGTGTGCCAAGACTGATTCAGTCCCATCATTCAGTTCCTTGATGCTGGGAAACAAGGAGATTCAGCAGTTATGATGACCTAAATATCAATATACGCATTGTGCCAAGAAACCATTAACTTTGTCCATAAATCTAATAGAACATTTTGAATCTGTTAATGTATCCCAGTCGCTTTGTTAATATATCACAATTTAGCTATTTCTCATGTTTATTTATTTATCGTGTCATACGCAAATTGAGAATATAGTTATAATGTATAGAAAAACCACAAGCAAAGTTAAAAGCTTGGCATTATTCTAAATTTCCTTTGACCAGAAGCTTACCACTTGGAGTGCCCCTGGTGTCACTGTAAGAAGGTCCTCCATTGTGCATGTCCCAAGGGTCAGACTGCATTAGGTGGTCTGTGGTTTGCTCTTCTCCACACTCGCATGTCGTGGACTCCACTTTGTAACCTCATTTCTTAAGATTGGCTCTGCATCTCATGGTGCCAGAGTCTGTTCAGTGCCTTCCAGGCATCTAGCCGGGGGGGAGCTTGAGGGGCTTCAGCCCCCCTCCCGAAATTCTCATGGTGGTCCACGAGAAGCCTTACTGGTACATTATTTAAACTGTTATGTTTATTCATATCATGATCTGATCACCATGCTCAATATATCCCATATGCATGGGGGTATTGGGGTAATGATACAAAAGGTTTGCTAGGGTAGACCCTCTTTCATTCAGACTCACCCCCCCCACCTCCCGAACCAAACTCAGCTCCCCCGAATCAAAATCCTGGCTACGGGCCTGGTGCCTTCCCAGTCTCCCAGTCTTGTGTGTGCTTTCTCATCCGGTATCAGCCACTGATTGAGGTTCTGGGTTTTAACCTGCCACTTTTGGATTCTCGCTTGCTGAGGTGTTCCTGTGAGTTTCTCTGTTTCTCTGTAGATCTTAGGAAGCTATTTCTTGATTTAAGGCATTGGCTTGCTAGCTGATATCTGAACAGAGGATGGGCTGAGATGTCTTTCTCATGCTAATTTCGCCTTGAAACTTTGTTCTTAAAAGTCAATAATTCTATATCTATGAAGATATAGATGTTCTGCCACTGGGTTTTGAGTATTGCCATTTCTAATACACGTCAACTGTGTTATCATTTGGTCTATTGCATGTAAACTTTCCTGTTTTTCTAGTGAAGAGGAACATTGCTAAGAAACAATGGTGTAGCTTCTGTTGGAAAATGAGTAGGCAGCCACATGTTCCCCTGACAATGTGGATGAAGTTATCTGGACCTGAAATCTTGCTGCCAGAAGTTGGGAAAGATAGGGCATCTGGATTTAAGCAAGATGTATTTCCTATATTGCCAGCCATGTGCTTTGGGTGTAATGTTTTGGTTTTGAAATTTTCTTGTGCCTTCGTTTTCATTTTCCTCAGGACTTGCGGCTTTTTGGGCCTTTGGCCACAAGGCATTCCTTGAGTACAGTACAGTGTGTGTAAGTCTGATCTTACTCAGAGAGAAGCAGAAACCGCACCATTGTTAGAAATACAGATAAAATGAGATTGTGTCATGTTTGGATTAATATTAAGTAATCTGATAATTCCTTTTGTCATTCATTATCAGTGTTTATCTAAGGATTACATTTTGTATTGCAGTTATTTGACAAAATTCGTGAAGAGTGCCCCAACTTCCATGAGAAGATTAAACCAATAAGTGCTGAACTCACCCACCCGAATTTGGCCATCAGCCCAGAGGACACTGAAGAGCTCCTGTCTGAAGTCAACATTATCTTCCATTGTGCTGCAACTGTTCGCTTTGATGAACCTCTGAAGTATGTTCTCCTTGCCTAGCCCTTTGTGTTTATTACAACATACTGTAATTCCATTTAGGTTGGCCTGGAAGTTTTGGAATTTAATAGGACACTTCATAGCCTATAGTACTGGAGAGATGTTCAGAGATAAAATAAGTAGGGTTCGACAAATTCACTTGATTGCTCACCAGGGGTACTTCACTTAGGTAGCCTGGGGGGGTGGGGGGGAGAGATTGGCAATGCCAGCCTCCTTGGCCACCCCTGTTTAGCCCTTTAAAATGGAGACAAAGCTTCTGTGCACTGGGACTGTGGCACAGCTGGCTAGGAGTCAGCTGCATTAAGACCACTACTGACCGAAAGGTCATGAATTCAAAACCAGGTCGGAGTGAGCTTCCGACCAATTTGTGTAGCTTGCTGTTGACCTTTGCAGCCCGAAAGACAGTTGCATCTGTCAAGTAGGAAATTTAGGTACCGCTTATGCAGGGAGGCTAATTTAACTAATTTATGAGAACATAAAAATCTCCAGCAAGCATGCAAAGAATGAGGAAGTACTTAATCAGTGTCACAAATGGACGGTGAAGCGACAGCACCCCTGGTGGCCAGAATACCCTCATAAAAATCTGGAAGGTCAAATAGTCTCTGAGTGTTTGTTTATATATGTTGTGTGTCTATGGCATTGAATGTTTGCCATATATATGTGCATTGTAATCTGCCCTGAGTCCTCTGCGGGGTGAGAAGGGTAGAATATAAATACTGTAAATAATAATAATAATAATAATAATAATAATAATAATAATAATAATACAGAGACGCAAGACTTCCCTTGGCTTCCTGGGTCTGAAGCTTTGGTGGAGGAATCTCCCCCTCCCACCTTTCTCCAAAGCTCCATAGTTTCATTTTGAAGCCCTGGGAAGCTCAGATGGGTTTTGTGCCCATATATGAAGACTTTGTGTCTATGGAGCTCTTCTCTGCTGGGGGAGGATGCCTCCATCCTCCTCTGGTCCTTCTCAGACAGCTGTCTAAAAGAGTTAGAATGGTGCAACTTATTCCTCTTTTGGATCTCTATATAATGTTATTCTTTCTTATTGATTTATACGAACTCTTTGTGAAATACATCAAGTCAAGAATAATGGCCCTTGTGCCAATTTAGATTACAAAAGAACCCATAAATGAGACTGCATGCATTTGACCTGTGATCTTATGCACCCAACATTTCTCTTACAGCACACCTAAACTACACTTTCAAAGAAATAAGGCCATAGCAGTGACTACCAAATCTCATATAAACAAGAAACATGCACAGTCTTCCATATCGAGGGGACATCTTCTCATGGGTGGTTGAGAGGGCAGCAGCGGAACAGTTGCAGCAGTTCCTAAATGACACAGCCGGACTTGATCCCTTCCAGTCCGGCTTCCGTAGGGGGCACGGGACGGAGACTGTGCTGGTTGACATCACAGATCAGCTCCGCTGCCAGATGGATCAAGGCGGATCAGCGCTGCTTGTGTTATTGGACCTCATGGCAGCATTTGATACGGTCGACCACAATCTATTGACCCACCGCCTAGCCATGACTGGGGTTAGGGGGATACCCCTTAAATGGGTGCCCTCCTTCCTCCAGAATCGGGGACAGCGTGTGGTGAGGGGAGGAGTGGTTTCCGAGAGATCTCCGCTAACTTGCGGGGTTCCGCAGGGAGCTATTCTCTCTCCTCTATTATTTAATAGACTGGTGCTGAGCTTTGGGCTTGAGTGCTACCAGTACACTGATGACACTCAGCTCATTCTGAGGATGGAGGGCCGGCCGGACTCTGTACCCGAAAATTTCCATCAGTGCCTTGAGTCCGTTACTGGATGGTTGCGTGCCAGCAGGTTGAGGGTGAATCCAGCGAAGATGGAGATCCTTTGGCTGGGCCGTCCGGGTGGGAGAGAGATCCAGCTGCCTACCCTGGATGGCGAGATACTACGTCCGTCATCTTCTGTAAAAAACCTTGGTGTCTTATTGGACCCTCTGCTCACAATGGAGGCCCAGGTCTCTGCTGTGAGACGATCTGCATTTTTCCATCTACGTCAGGCTAGGCAACTGGCTCCCTACCTATCTAGGAATGACCTGGCTACGGTGATCCAGGCGATGGTCATCTCGAGGCTTGACTACTGTAACGCCCTCTACATTGGCCTTCCTTTGTCAGTGATCCAGAAACTGAAGCTGGTGCAAAACGCGGCGGCTCGTCTTCTCGCTGGGGTGCCGGCGAGGTGTCGTATCACCCCAATTCTACAACAGCTGCACTGGCTTCCGATTGAGTACTTTCAAGGTGCTGGTACTAACCTTTAAGGCCTTATATGGTCTGGGGCCGGCGTACCTGAGGGCCTGCCTATCCCCCTACCAACTACAGAGATTACTTCGGTCCAAAGACCAAAATTTGCTTGAAGTCCCCAACATCCGGACTTATCATCTGTCCTCTACTAGGCAGAGAGCCTTCTCGATTGTGGCCCCTTATTTATGGAATGCCTTGCCAGTTGAAACCCGAACAATCCGAGAGCTACTTGCTTTTCGGAAAGCCTGTAAAACCTTTCTTTTCCGACAAGGTTTCGATGGGTGAATAACTCGGGACTATGTCTGTTCTCATTTTTATTGTATTTTAAAGTTGATTGCATTGTTTTTAATCTACTGCTGTAAACCGCTCTGAGCCAAATTGGGAGTGGCGGTATACAAGTCAAATAAATAAATAAAATAAAATAAATAAATGGGCTGACATAATGCACTAATTGAAGTTAATTTTCTTTATTTGTGTTTCAAACATTTGGAAGTTCCTTTATCAATCCTTAATGGAGGAAACTCATTGGTTGTAGGAATTCATACCACCCTGAGCTCTTCATAACTTTTCTATACTTTTTCCCAACCAGGCATGCCCTTTTGCTAAATGTCAGGGGCACACAGCAGCTCCTTTATCTGGCCCACCAGATGAAGAACCTTGAGGCCTTCATCCACATTTCAACTGCCTTTGCAAACTGCAATCGGAAGTACACAGAAGAAATAATTTATCCTCCTCCCATAGAGCCCAGGAAACTGTTTGACCTTGTGGAGTAAGTGACCTTGTGGCATAAGCCTTTCTTTCTGTTGCTGATCTAACTTTTGTTCAAAGGAGTATTCAAGAACTTAGGGTGGATCAAGACTGCCCCTTTATTGCGGAAACTTCCGCAATAAAAAAGGGGCTGTCCAGATGACGTTCTGGACAATCCAAATTAATTTGCCACAAACCAGGAAAACCCTGGTTTTGTTATCGAGCAATTTAGAATGGCTGTGGATTAGGCCCAAGCCATTGGGGGTTGCCTGATGAGAATAAATATCACCAAGTTGAAGCAGAAGCCACTGAGATGTTTTTTTTTCTTCATTCCAGCTGGAGTGGATATCAAACTGCAATCATTTGCCAAAGTTTGCAAAGGGAAATATTACAGTTTTTATAGAAAATACAAGCTGTCATATTCAAATTTCCCACTCCCACCCCTCTTGCTGGCTCCGTGCTGATTGGATGGAGTCATCATCTGGCTGGGAGGTGCGGCTGGCTTAGTTGCGCCTCAGCCAATCAGGGAGCCAGTGCTGCTTCGGCCTCTCAGCCAATAAGAAGGAAGAAGGTGGTCCGGGTGGGAAAACAATGAACCAGGAGAAAAGATGAATGGATTAAATGACTAATATTTGCATTAGCGCTGGTGATAGCTTTTTCTTAAAGCCTTCGAGCCAGCTTGTCTATTGTCTTTGGTTCCTGGAGATATTTCTTTGACTGATTAGGAAGTCAGTCCCTTTGTAGTCCTGGGTCCGGAATATGGGGTCTGTTAATGATATCTTGGATCAGTTTCGGCTAGAGGATTTGACACAATGGAAGGAGACTGAGGTGACCAAACACCTTTTGTGAAAGATAATTAGAATGTCCTTAGAATCCATCTCCCAGATGGGCAAGCCTTTGGCTTCTTCGAGGTCTGAGGAAGTGGAGTCATTTGTTTATCAGTCATGCAAAACGTCCTTGGTGAGCCTTTTTGTTTAGGGATTAGCTGGCCCAGGAAGTGAGAGAAGGTTTCCTGAAGCTTTGAGATGCTGGGTGCCTGAAGAGGTGACATTTCATATTTCATATAGGGATATGGGGAAGGGGGGAGGAATACAAGGGGATCATAAGGCTAAAATCATGCAAACTGTAAAGGGAATCATGCCAGCCCTCCCTCCCTCCAGAGTCCATCAAAGGTTCGTATAGATCAGTGAAATATCATAAAAGTTCATAAGGGTTTGGTATAGGGTCCATAAGAATTCCAAAGTCCATGAAAAGTTGATTGAAGTTTTCTAAAAGTTCATAGAAAAGTCCATAAAGTGTGGGTTACAGGGGCATTGCCATGTGGGGCCATGGGGCCATGGAAAGAGCCTTAGATTCCCACATGGGGAGAGATAGGGGATTATGGGATCATTTCAACCTGGTGTCCTTGGTAAAACTATGAATTCCTTGGTTTTGAACCATCTTTTACAGAGTCCGGGGGGGGGGAGGGGTCACCTCCGATATCAGTTTGTGGCTAATTGATTAGGTAGTGGGTTTATTCCACGCCTTCTTGAAAGTATAGATGAGACCACAGAGAGTGTTTGAACCCAGGGAAGCAAAAGGTTGTTTTGCAGATTTATTGCTATCATACTTCAATATTAATTGACCGCTGCAAAGATCTGAAAGACCAATGTCACTGTAAGCAGTCTTTTGGTCAATTTTATTTTAGTACCCATGCCTCTACTCTGTTTCGTCCTGCTCACACCCATGTATTATGTTCCCATTAGGTGGATGGATGAGTCCCTCATTGAAGAGATCACACCCAAGCTGATTGGAGACTGGCCCAATACCTACACATTCACTAAAGCCTTGGCAGAATATCTACTTCAGCAAGAGAAAGGGAACATTCATGTTGCCATCATCCGGCCATCTATTGTGGGAGCCAGCTGGAATGAGCCTTTTCCTGTAAGCATGACTGCTTTTCCTTTTTGCTGAGGATGCTGAAAATGCAACCTGTAGCTACTGCTTTTCTCCCAGCCATCTTTCCAACAGAGTATTCCACGACTTTCCTTAGCATGGGGCTACACTGGATTAACCTGATGGATATCCAGAAGCAACTTGTCAGGCAGTACGAGCTATTGAGCTTGTGTAGAAGGGCCTTCATTCATCTTGTCATCATTCTGTAGGAGAAATATGGACTTCTAGGGTAAATAGGTATCAAAGTATCTCCTCAAGTCCATGAAGCTTCAACGGCTTTTTATTGCTTGTTCTATATTTAGATATAAGTCCCTGATTTGCTCTATAGCATCAGGTACCGCTGCTGCCAGCAGATTTGGGGTGTTACTAGAGTTTTATGTGGTGTAAACTGCTGTAAATCCCCTACTTTTTTGGGGGGGGGGGTGGTATATATATAAATATTTTCCCTTATTATATTTTTATTTTCACTGCTAGGCAATAGAAGTAATTGGTGAATCCTGTGCACTGGACTTGGGGGGAGATGGAGAGGCAGAGGGGGCACCTATTGCTATTCCATCTGAGGCAGAAAAATGTCTTGGTCCAAACTGGACCTGGAAATCCAGTATTTTGCTCTGTGCTCCAGTATGCCAGTCTCATGTGTGACTTGCACATTTACAGGCCAAAATGAGCTATGTATAATCTCAATAACACTGACAATCCAATTTTTTCCATACTGTTTTCCTTTAGGGCTGGATTGACAACATCAACCACTTCAATGGTTTCCTTATTGCGGTATGTACCTTACTTTTCTGAAAAATGAGGTCAATAAAATGTGATAGTTTTAATCTATAGCAGCCAGAAGAACAGAGGTATGGGAGGAGAGTAGTAGAGATTTCATGAACAACATACTGGGACATTATTTATTTATTGTGTCATCAGCAACCATTGTATTACAATTCTAACAGAGCAAAACAAACACACAGATTAAAAAGAAAAAGGGGGAAAAAAAAACAAAAACACAGATTTTGCAAATTTGGTATTTGGTTAAATGTCCTTTGACCAGTATCTGGCCACTTGGAGTGCCTCTGGGGTTGCCGCAAGAAGGTCCTCCATTGTGCATGTGGCAGGGCTCAGGGTGCATTGCAGCAGGTGGTCAGTGGTTTGTTCTCTCCGCACTCGCATGCCGAGGATTCCACCCTGTAGCCCCATTTCTTAAGATTGGCTCTGCATCTCGTGGTGCCAGAGCGCAGTCTGTTCAGCGCCTTCCAAGTCGCCCAGTCTTCTGAGTGCCCAGGGGGGAGTCTCTCATCTGGTATCACCCATGAATTGAGGTGCTGGGTTTGAGCCTGCCACTTTTGGACTCTCGCTTGCTGGGGTGTTCCAGCGAGTGTCTCTGTAGATCTAAGAAAACTATGTCTTGATTTAAGTCGTTTACGTGCTGGCTGATACCCAAACAGGGGATGAGCTGGAGATGTCTCTGCCTTGGTCCTTTCACTATTGGCTGCTACTTCCCGGCGGATGTCAGGTGGTGCAATACCGCTAAGCAGTGTAATTTCTCCAGTGGTGTAGGTCGCAGACACCCTGTGATAATGCGGCATGTCTCATTAAGAGCCACATCTAGTGTTTTAGTGTGGTGAGATGTGTTCCACACTGGGCATGCATACTCAGCAGCAGAGTAGCATAGCGCAAGGGCAGATGTCTTCACTGTGTCTGGTTGTGATCCCCAGGTTGTGCCAGTCAGCTTTCGTATGATGTTGTTTCTAGCGCCCACTTTTTGTTTGATGTTCAGGCAGTGCTTCTTGTAGGTCAGAGCACGGTCCAAAGTGACTCCCAGGTATTTGGGTGTGTTGCAATGCTCCAGTGGGATTCCTTCCCAGGTAATCCTCAGAGCTCGGGATGCTTGTCTGTTCTTAAGGTGAAAGGCGCATGTCTGTGTTTTAGATGGATTAGGGATCAGTTGGTTTTCCCTGTAATAGGCAGTAAGAGCACCTAGAGCTTCTACTCTATATAGAGCTTCTACTTTTTATACTGGGACATGAGAGAGTACTGCTATAATTGTGCTTCGCTCCACACATATTGTTATCCTCGCTCTTCCTCCACTGCTGCAGCTTCAATGAGAAGAAAAGACAATTGTCAGGCTAGTGGTAATGAGGATGTTTTGGACAAATACAGACATCATTGGATTTCAGATGGCAACATCTTTATTGGTTACACACTTCTTCATCTCATGTGCTAAGGGAACATGTGCAAGATGGCAGTAACTGGCATCCATATAAGTAGAAGCCATTGTCTGAATTGAAGTACCACATGGGGATAAGGCAGCAATGACAGGACTCAGAGCGGAGTCTGTCCTGGATGCCTCAACCAGGAAATCTGTTGTGTTGGGAAAATCTTTGGGTTTTCTCCAAATGGATCAATGTGAATGCCCAGACACCCATTCCAAATGTTTAGACACGTTTAATCCTTAAATACCAAAATTAAGTACCTGTCACAAGATACGACTACACTATAATCCATGTGTATAGCTCAAATGAGGAAACAGAAAGTATCAAAACAAGACTGGTTGTACTTAAAACCAAGGAGCAGGTTTTCAAGTGGATTGGAGTGAAAACTTCAGCAACAGCACTACAAGGACCCGATTCCTATCAACCAGCCTCCTGTCATTAGAAATAGCAGTACTGCAAAACCAGCTGCAGAAAATGTCAACCTTTCTGTACACACAATAATGGATTTGCAGTTCTTTGAACAAAGAAATGAAAAAGGAATTCTAGAAAGAAAAACTGCTGAATTGCATTATTCACAGATCCTAACCGATTAGCAGAAATATGAACAAACACAATGGCATCATAGCACACTACATTTACATATAACAGTCCTTGCTACATTTATTTATTTCCTATATTTCTATCCCGCCCTTCTCACCCCTGAGGGGGGACTCAGGGCGGCCTCACAAAAGCATCATAGGATGCCGAACATCATAAAAACAATCAACAATCAGCAATACATTAAAATATTTTAAACAGTAATTAAATAATTGATTAAAAGCATGCCTGTTAAAATCAGAATCCAAAATCCAATCCAGGGTCCAGTCTGGGTCGATTCATTGTCTTAAAAACTTCTTTTACTTGCTGTTATTACTGGTCGAACGCTTGATCCCATAGCCAGGTCTTAAGTTTCCATCTGAAAGACAGGAGGGAGGTGGCCAATCTGATGTCCCTGGGGAGGGAGTTCCACCGAAGGGGGGCACTGCAGAGAAGGCCCTGTCCCTCATCCCCACCAGTCACGATGTCGGTGGGATCGAGAGCAGGGCCTCTTCAGATGATCTTAAATTCCATGATGGTTTGTAACAGAAGATACGTTCAGACAGGTAGTCTGGACCAGAACTGTTTAGGGCTTTAAAGTTTAAAACCAGTACTTTGAATTGTGCTCGGAAGCTGATCACTGCCAGTGGAACTGGCGTAACAGAGGAGTTGTGTGCTCCTTGTATGCCGCTTACTGGCTTTTTCTCCAGAGAGCAACCTGGCTGCCGACGGTTGAACTAACTGAAGCTTCTGGGCAATCTTCAGAGGCAGCCCCATGTAAAGCAATCTCCTTTGGCCCCATCTACACTGCCATTGAACTTCATTATAAGATTGTACACTCACCATACAATGGTATTATAATAACAGTATAGATGGGGCCACAGAGAGTGTTTTGAATCCAGGGAAGCTAAAGATTGGTTCAGCAGATGTATTGCTTTCACACTTTAGTGCTAATTGACAACTGTATAGATCTGAAAGACCCGTGTCACCTTAGGCAGTCTTGGAAATTTGAAGCATTTGCATCTTTTTGGATCCTATTACAGTCCACCCCCTACCATAACTGTATCAATATGCTTTATAGCTCAGGCCTTAATATCACTACATCCTGCATCCAAAGAAGTGGCTTTATATCATGGGAAGACATGTATTTTTATTTTGTTTAAAAAACAGTGTTAAAAGTGCCGCCATGTTTCTTTTTTCCTCACTCTTTCTGATTCCTTTATAATCTGCTTTGTCAGTTAGCAATGATGTTCTGCTTACTGGCCTTTTCTCTTATCATGCAGGCTGGAAAAGGAATTCTACGGACTATAAAATGCAATCTAAAGGCAGTAGCAGATATTGTTCCTGTAGATGTTGCTATCAATTTAACCCTTGCTGTTGGGTGGCACACTGCAGTTCACAGGTAGGACTGTACAAAGATACACATTTGCTGAACTATTGACAGGGACTGAAAGGGTTGCAAAAGCAGTGAGATAATGTCACAGAATGTAAGGAGCTTTGTCATGTAATTTTAAATTGGGGTAAACAGCTGTGGAGGCCCTTGAAAGGTTTTTGTACTGCAGCTTTCTTCAGCTCTAGCCAACACATGGTGGGGGTCTTGTTGGAACAAATAAGAAAAGATCTCAAAAGTCACACTTTCCCATCCTGGGTATAAAGCAATGTTTCCCAAACATTGTATTACTGAAGGATGCAATAACATCCTGCGGAAACTTACTGGCAGCACATGGGGTGCAGACCCAAAATTAGTAAGAACATCAGCCCTAGCCTTATCTTACTCAGCTGCCGAGTATGCCTGCCCTGTTTGGCATAGGTCTGCCCATGCAAAGCAGATGAACATAGTATTGAATGAAATATGCAGAATAATCACAGGATGTCTTAAACCTACACCTGTTGGTAAACTCTACAAGCTAGCTGGCATTGCCCCCCCCCTCCTGATATGCGACGGGAAGTTGCTGCTTATTTATTTGTCGTGTCAGGGCAACCAGTCAATTATATTACATTTCTAACAGAACAAAGCAAACAAATAGACAAAATACAAAATTTGTGAGTTTGGTAGTTGATTAAATGTCCTTTGACCAGTATCTGGCCACTTGGAGTGCTTCTGGTGTTGCTGCAAGAAGGTCCTCCATTGTGCATGTGGCAGGGCTCAGGTTGCATTGCAGCAGGTGGTCAGTGGTTTGCTCCTCTCCACACTCGCATGTCGAGGATTCCACTTTGTAGCCCCATTTCTGAAGGTTGGCTCTGCATCTTGTGGTGCCAGAGCGCAGTCTGTTCAGTGCCTTCCAAGTTGCTGCTAAATGTGAGAGAAATAAGGTTGAACACGTGAAAGCCATCCACTACATGGCTACCAGCCTCCTCCCAGTATACTCAAATCAAGGAAAAGCTTTATGAGAACTACCACTCCTCTTCGCATCCCTCTAGCAACAGCAAGGTATCCCTCTGGGCAGCTAAACCAGGAAATTCCAACTGGATGTCGCACCTCAGAGTAGATTCACCTTGCTGGAAACACCAAACTGCACACAGCCAGAAGTCTTTATAGTTTATTAAAAATAAAAGGTAAAAAGTTCTTAACAGCAAAGGTAAATGTTCTAAAAGATCAATATAAAATAGCACTTTGAAGCTTAATCCAAAAGGCACCAGCAAAGCAAAAAAAAAAAACCCAAGAGAACATGACAAAGTCCTGAAACCATGAACTCAAGAACTGCAAGATAATCCAGACAAGCAAAGGCAAGCTTCTGGTTAAACAAAAAGTTGCTTTGACAAAGGTTTGGTCTCAAGACCCTTTGCAAAACATGAAGGTGTTTCTTTGGCCTCTGGCCTCCTTCTTGTTAGCTATTCTCACACTCCTTCGAACTCTGAATTCCAAAAGGCCACCCCGATCTAAGATTCCCATTTTGTCAAGGTCATTTCATTAGGGTCAGCCTGTTTCCCTGCTTGCTCATTATCAGGCTGAGAACTGTCCTCCTTCTCTGAGTCAATCTGCACCTGCACCTGGCTATTTTCAGTATTAACACTCTCATTACTTGCTGTGGGAAACTGCACTTCTTCACTGTCTATAACAAGGAAGTCTATAACATGGACATTTTGAACCAGACTGTGAACCCGTATGCTTGTCCACTATGCCCTGCCTCATGTACAGAGGAAGAATTGTTGGAGGCTACAGACAATGCCGTTGCTGTTGCCTGTTTTGGGTCACAAGATTTTTAGCCGCCTGCGCTCCTTCTATTTTTATTGGTTTTATACTAATTTATGCAATGCTTTTGATACAAAATAAATAAATAAATAAATTATTTTTCTGTAATGTAACATAGTGGTGAATCATAGTGTTGGAAGAGACCATTAGTGCCATCCAGTCCAACCCCCTGTCTTGCAGGGAAACACAATCAGCACAACTCTGTAGGGGTTGGTAACTGCAAATAAACAGAAGCATTACCACAGTTTCTGAACCAAAATATACCCTGCAATATAATAAATGTTTGGCCGGAGCTGCACTTTAAAAATGTACCTGTTCAGAATTACAACAAATTCAGCTTAATAACAAACTATAGAACCCATCTTGTTCACAACTTGAGGATTGCCTATACTTGGAAACGAGTCTCACCAAAGCCATCTTTGTTTAGCTTGCCTGAAAAATGTGTGTGACAAATGAATATAGAGATATTTCACTTCATTACAATATTCATTTTTAAAATGTGTGTGAGATTATATTCTTGGTATGATTGTATTGGTTAGTATGTATAAGGACCTCATCACATGAAGTCATTCATCGCATAAAGAGGATTTGCCAGGTAGCTTGGTGAATCCAGTGAGCAGTGGGGGATCTGGTGCCTCGAGTACCGCATCACCCACAGCTATGCTTCCACATCACATGGGGGGGGGGAGCATTGCTGCCCTGCTTCCCAGCGCACTCACCCCATTGCTGGCAACATGAATACGCTGCCTCTTATTAGGATGCATTCAGCACAGTTTGGGGACAGAGCTCCATCAGAAGTAGCTCTACATAATTTGATGGGATCTGGCAGGCTTCCTCCCCAAACTGTGCTGGATGCATCCTATGATGAGTTAAAAAGTGTGTGTGATAAAGTGGTATACGAGAGAGATTCCATTTTTGGTCAATGCTACTTCAGAGAGAATGCTCAAACTTTTCCTCAGCTCATAACCTAGCAGTAGTACAGTTTATTGTCGAAGGCTTTCATGGCCGGAATCACTGGGTTGTTGTAGGTTTTTCCGGGTTATATGGCCATGTTCTGGAGGCATTTTTTCCTGACGTTTCGCCTGCATCTATGGCATTGGCAAGCATCCTCAGAGGTAGTGAGGATGCTTGCCATAGATGCAGGCAAAACGTCAGGAGAAAATGCCTCCGGAACATGGCCATATAACCCAGAAAAACCTACAACAACCCAGTAGTACAGTTGTAGAAAAGCACCCCAGTTCAGTGGAGCTAATCCTAAGAAAATGTGCCTGAAATGCTTTCTTGGGACTTAGCAAAAGGAAAGGGGAACCCCCATTTATAATATCCTCCATCTTTTGTTTGTGATCCATGCACTTGCAGCCTTTCCTCCCCTGGGTCCTCGTACATGACACAGCAGGGTGAGCATCTCTGGGTAATTCATTCCTAAAAAGTAAAGCTTCCTGCATGTAAGAATAAAATGTTTGTCCAATTTTAACTTATCTACTTGCTTACTTTTCAGACCCAAATCAATGTTGATATACAATTGTACAACTGGTGGCATAAATCCATTTCATTGGGGAGAAATGGGTAAGTTATCATTGCAATGCATATCACATGAAATTCACATTTAGGTACGACATACAGTTTTTGGATACACTACTATAATTCTATATTTCCATTCAAAGCTCAATGCTCCTGTTGTCCTGCAGTGTCCTTTGTTTTCATGTAGATTTGATGACTTATTAGGTGATTCCATATTGATTATACTTAGAGGTTTTTTAAATAGGCTGGACGGCCCTCTGTGTGAATACTTTGCATCTTCCTACATGGTAGGATGAGGTTTGAGTGTGTGGCCCTTGTGGTCTCTACCAACTCTATGATGCTTTGAACCATGCAAGCTTTTTATTTGCTGTGCCGGATTTTTTTTTGTCAAAATATTTTAGAATTGTCCTGCATTTTTACAAATACTTCTGAAATATGCAAACATACTTAACACAATAAAATTGTTTTAAAAATTGACACTGTGCAAACAGGGGATGCAATGTACATAATTTTTAGGAATATAAATATTTTCAGAACTTTATCTCATGAGTGTAATGACTCACAAATTGGGTACATTTCTCTCCTTTTTTAGAATTACCCATGTTTTCTTGTCTACCATCAAGTCCAGGCCCGTAGCCAGGATTTCGTTTCGGGGGGGGGGGCTGATTTTTTTTCAGGGGGGGTTTCAGGGGGGGTCGAGCGGGGCTGAGTCTGAGTGAAAGAAGGTCTAGCCTAGCAAACCTTTTGTATCATTACCCCAATACCCCCATGCATATGGGATATATTAAGTAGGGCTGGGCGGTTTCGTTTCGTAATTTCGTAATTCGTTAAAAATTCGTTATTTTTTTTATAACGAAGCGATATTGAACCATTCAGGAGCAACTAAAAAACGAAACGAATTTTTCCAATTCGTTTCGTAATTGTTTCGGAATTGATTCGTTATTGATTCGTTATTATTTCCGCATGTCTGGTGCAAGTTTTAGGGTTGCTGTTTGTTTTCTCAGTGAAAAAAAATATAATTATCACACCAACAGTCAACAACAGAGGGAGAGGGAAGCTTCAGAAGTTTTTTTAGCGTATTGCGCGATCGCGGCCGCCATTAACGAATCGATTCGTAATCGATTCGTAATTGTTTTATGATTTCCGAAATTTTGTAAATATCGAACTTTTTTAAAGGAAAATTTCGGAATTCTTTTAAATAACGAAACGCAAAAAACCCCTAAAAACGAATCGAGTTTACCCCAATACCCCCATGCATATGGGATATATTGAGTATGTGATCAGATCATGATATGAATAAACATAACAGTTTAAATAATGCACCAGTAAGGCCTTTTCGCGAACCACCATGAGAATTTCGGGGGGGGGGCTGAAGCCCCTCAAGCCCCCCCCCCTCCTGGCTACATGCCTGATCAAGTCATTTTACTAATACTTAAACCTTAGTCTCTTGAGAATATATAATATACTACCCATCCCCTGCCACGCATTGCTGTGGCCCGGTCTGTGTATATGTGTTTTGTGTGTGTATATTTTTGTGTATATGTGTATATATAAGGTTTTGTGCATGTGTTGTAACATAATTTTTGATTTTTAGCTTTTTAAGTCTCTTCTGCTGTGTTTTTCAGTGTTTTTATGAGTGATGGTTACTCGTTGGCCTGAGAGGTGTATTGTGTCCAAAGTTGGTGTCAATTCATCCAGTGGTTTTTGAGTTATGTTAATCCCACAAACGAACATTACATTTTTATTTATATAGATTGTGCATATTTGCTGATTTCCCTTACTGTTTAGATGCTGGAACATTATTTTTTAAATGATTTTTAAAATGATTTGTGCTTTCATGTAATAAAAATCTAAGTAATATGTAGTGGCTTACCATATACACCTCAAGTTTAAACCACAATTTCCCTGTAGAATAGAAATCAAAGAGAGGTGTGAGATCTATAGTGGCAGCATTTAGAGTTGTTTTAGGTTTGCTAGTTATTGCAAAAATGAAATATGCCTAATAAATAGTGCATTCTTTAACTCCAAAACTTACCTGTTCATCAACTGAAAAATCTTTATCAACCGTCCTGGAAGAGGAATTCCACAATATAAAGCTTGCCAATTATATTCAGTTTGCTGATCAAGATAGGAGCAAGCTATATCATTCTTCCTTCTTTCTTTAAAAATTGGGAAAGTGGCAGCCAGTCCTACTTAGGTGGGTTGCATGCATTTTCATTTATTTTGCCAAAGTTGGTTCCCATCAGCTAGTGTTTGTTAATGTACTTTGGAAGAATGTAAATACAGGATGGTGGTCCATTTTAGTTAATTGGCCAGATCAATTACCGTTGAAACAGGTGGCCTTTCTGGCAAAGGCCCTGAAACATGTGTGTCTCCTATTTCACATACAGTGCAGAGAAGTAAGGTCCCTCATGATTCAGGAGGAATGTCAGAGTCCAAGCCTGAGAACTGAATCTTGATGAGGTAAAAGCTGAGTCTTGCAGACATTTGTCATCATTTGCTGTCAAGTCGATTTTTTATTACAGTGCCCCAGTATCAACTAGATGAGATTTCTGACTTGACCTGACGGAGACTAGTTCTTTGATGACTTGCTGACTCAAATTTATACTTGACAAGAGGATCCCATTGATATTCAACATGCAGTCCCTCTGGCCAAGAGGCATCTATGTGTAGTAGGCTCATGCATTTTGGCTAACCTCAATCCATTTCTGCTGGCCAGGTACCAGTTGACCCTCCCCCCCATATCTGTTTTTGCATGGCTCCCAAAAACGGGTGGGTAGCTGGATAGCCATTTTTGGTCTGTAGCCAAAAAAAATATTGTTACATTGGAACTTACAAGGCTCCCTGTTCCTGGGAGCCTTTTCTTTTTTCCTTCAAGGGAGCCTGGGTGTCAGCAACGGGGTTAAGAAAGCACCCTATCCGGCCCATTATGGTGGGGGGACTTCCCACAGGCTCCCCTTCCATATCCTTCATTAAGACCTGGATTAAAAGAATCAAAGTTAAGATAACACTCTTTCTGCAATCCTTTCCCTTCTGTCTGTAGAGGAGACTGGGTTTAATGCTTTGTTAAAGCTGTTTCTTTCTACTCTAGAGGAGACAGGCTGCACGCACATGTGCTCTCTCCCCGCATGCAGCTTTCCAGTGCATTTAAGGAGGCTTCCCACTTCCCAGGGAAGAAAGAGTGATCTCCCTGGGCTTCCTTTAAAAAAGCCACTTTTTGCTCTACTGCAAGCCCTGTCTGGAATGAGTAGGGCACACTTCAATCTCTGGGTTTAATGCTTCCTTAAAGCTGTTTCTACTTTCTGCTCTAGAGGAGAGGTAACTAGGTGGTAGTAGTTTTCTGATAGTGATTGATTTTGTTCTATTCCCTGGGATTTATTATTATTATTATCTTTTAGAAGGAGAGGAAGGGGAGAAGACAAAAAGCTAAAAGGGTGACTCTCCCAAGCCCCCCGTCCTCACACATCCCCAACTCTTTGATTGTAGGTTAACTATAAATCTCAGCAACTACAACTCCCAAATGACAAACTCAATTTTTGAGTGATGGTCACTCCTTGGGTTAGTAGGTGTCTTGTGGCCAAATCTGGCGGCAATTCGTCCAGTGGTTTTTGAGTTATGTTAATCCCACAAACAAACATTACATTTTTATTTATACAGACTAGCTGTCCCCTGCCACACGTTGCTGTGGCCCCGTCTGTGTATATGTGTTTTGTGCGTGTATATATTTGTGTATATTTGTATATATGTGTGTTTGCATATATAGATGTGTGTGTGTGGTTTTGTGCATGCGTTGCAATGTATTGTTGTTGTTGTTGTTGTCTTTTTAAGCCTCTTTTGTTGTGTTTTTCAGTGTTTTTATGAGTGATGGTCACTTGTTGGCCTGATAGGTGTCGTGTGTCCAAATTTGGTGTCAATTCGTCCAGTGGTTTTGGAGTTCTGTTAATCCCACAAACGAACATGACATTTTTATTTATATAGACTAGCCATCCCTTGCCAGGCGTTGCTGTGGCCCAGTCTGGTGATCTGGAAAATAAAGTAATGCGAAAGTGTTGGTTTCTAATATATGGAATTTCTTTCTGCTTGTGGGTAAACAGCATTACTTGTTTTTTTGTCAGTGTTGATGTGGAGATTGTCTGGTTTGCCTACTCTGGAACATGCAACATATCATTGTCCTTCTGTAGGGGTCCCTTTCAAATCTATGAGACTATATTTGTGTGTGTGAATCATATATACGTATATCTATCTATAGCTATGGCTGGATTGCTCTTTGTCAGGAAGGCTTTGATTATGTTTTCTTGCCCTGGTGAAGGGAGTTGGACTGGGTGGCCTTAAGTATTTTCTTGTGGTCATGGGAGTTCTGTGTGGGAAATTTGCCCCAATTGTGTTGTTGGTGGGGTTCAGAATGCTCTTTGATTGTAGGTGAACTATAAATCCCAGTAACTACAACTCCCAAATGTCAAGGTCTATTTCCCCCAAACTCCATCTGTGTTCATATTTGGGCATATAGAGTATTCGTGCCAAGTTTGGTCCAGATCCAGTATTGCTTGAGTCCACAGTGCTTTCTGGATGTAGATGAACTACAACTCCCAAACTCAAGATCAATGCCCACCAAACCCTTCTAGTGTTTTCTGTTGGTCGTGAGAGAACTGTGTGCCAAGTTTAGTTCAATTCCATCGTTGGTGGAGTTCAGAATGCTCTTTGATTGTAAGTGAACTATAAATCCCAGCAACTACAACTCCCAAATGACAAAATCCTTTTTTAGTGAAGAACATACATTGGGTTGTTATATATCTTGTGTTCAAATTTGGTGTCAATTCGTCCAGTGGTTTTTGAGTTCTGTTAATCTCACAAACGAACATTACATTTTCATTTATATAGATTTAAAAATCTGTACTTTGAGTTGATTTTCTGCCCATCAAACATTTCTCTCTGGGCTATATGAATCTACACTGCCATATAATCCAGTTCAATAAGTTAGTTAAATTGCATTCTGAAACTGCATTATATGGTGTGTAGATCCAGTCTCATATAATGCAGTTTAACTGCATTGAACTGCAGTATATGAATCTACACTCACCATACAACCCAGTTTTAAACTGTAATATATGGCTGTGTAGATGGAGCCTAGTTCTCGTTCTTCAGCAGGAGTGTGCTGGACTACCTTCTAAAGCAAAGCAAAGCAACTCTTGACTGCAGTTTTCAATTACCAATTACCTGTTCCCAAAATGCCTAAGGAGTCACAAACAGCCTTCTGCTGCTGATACAAAAACCCTTCTGCTACTCTAAACAGATGCTCTGTTAAACGATATAGTTCTGATCTATGCAGCCTCTGCCTGGCAAGGACCCTCCATTGAGTCCTTCTGGTGGCACACTGCTTTCTCTAGTCTTTGGCAGGCACTGGCGCTGGGAGAGTAAGGCCCCTTTCTTTTCAAGCCCTCCGAGCTGCTTTGCCAAATGTGACACTCCAGTCCACAAATATTTAAGAAAGTTAAATAAATAGCTCCGCAGAGGCCTAAGAGGGCTACCACAGTTTTTGAGGATTAACTGCTCTGAGTTCAGTCTTTGCCTTCCCTTTTCCCCAAAGTCCTGTTCCAGTTTTCTTAAAGGAGCAGTAAAAATAATAACAATGATTTAAAAATAGCTTGGGTCCTAAATTAACAGAAAAGTCAGGCAAATCCATCTTCATCTATTAAGAAGGTTATAGCTTCTTGCTATCTAGCACTAAAACCATTCTTGGTCAGACCACACCTGGAATACTGTGTCCAATTCTGGGCACTGCAATTGAAGGGAGATGTTGGCAAGCTGGAATGCATCCAGAGGTGAAAGACTAAAATGATCATGAATCAGGAGAACAATCCCTATGAGGAGCAGCTCAAAGAGCTGGACATGTTTAGCCTGCAGAAGAGAAGGCTGAGGGGAGACATGATGGCCATGTATAAATATGCGAGGGAAGTCATAGGGAGGAAGGAGCAAGATTGTTTTCTGCTGCCCTGGAGACTAGGATGCAGAGCAATGGCTTCAAACTACAGGAAAAAAGATTCCACCTGAACATTCTCTCATAACTGTGAGAGCTGTTCAGCAGTGGAACTCTCTGCCCCTGAGTGTGAGGGAGGGCTTATCCACACAGCCCTATATCCCAGAATATCAAGGCAAAAAAAAAAATCTCACAGTATCTGAGTGTGGACTCAGATAACTCAGTTCAAAGCAGATATTGTGGGATTTTCTGCCTTGATATTCTGGGATACAGGGCTGTGTGGAAGGGCCCTGAGTCTCCTTCTTTGGAGGCTTTTAAACAGAGGCTGGATGGCCATCTGTAGGGGGTTCTTTGAATGTGATTTTCCTGCTTCTTGGCAGGGGTTTATCCTGGATGGCCCACGAGGTCTCTTCCAACTCTATGATTCTATGATTTGTATGACAAAAGAGGCTGATGGTCTCAAACTGAGGTTTATAGACTCTCCCAAACACTTCATAAATGCCTAATGGGTCATATGTAGCCATGGCATTTCATGAGTATCAACATTGCAGAAGTTATTAATGAGGAATACTACACAAGTTAGGAGAGCTTGCAGTCATTTCCTTTTACTTGAGCCTCCTGTTGGGTTAATGAAGTGCAAACTACTTTTGCATTTTGAACTCAGTTTCGGATAACTGAATTCATCCGGGTTAACCTGAGGTGTCGTTTGGATGACCCATCATGGGTTTTTGGACCTGTCTGACCCAGGATGGACCCAAAACATGGAGGAAATGCCTCCACACTCTGAACCACACAATTTGGAGCAAAATATTTTGAAAAAAATAAAGGTTCGGAGGGGACAGATGTGGAGGAAATGACCTCCTCACTCCTAGATGCTTTAGTGAGCACTTCGGTGCACCCTACACAAACACACACACACTTTGACCATATTCTGTACACTCTTGATTTGTGCATTAACCCACCATATAATCCTTATGAAAATTAAGCTTTAAAATTTGTCAACTTTTTTACATATTGGGAAAAATATTTTCCTTGTAAGAGAAGTTGACAAACTTTTTTTGGTGCATTCAAATTATTATCATGCACAGAAACACAAAGAAGACCCTTCATCTATTTCAGCTGCCATTTCATTGACCTCATTGGTGAAGAGAACTGACTTAATCCCCTCTCCCACTATCATTCCCTCTTCTTTCGGTGTCCTATCTTATTTAGATTGCAAGCCTGGAGGCTTGGAACTGTCAAATTATCACTTTGTATACTGCTCTAATAATCTTTGAGGCTATAAACTCATAAATAAATAATTTTATTATACAAGCAGTTTTAGTTGATAGATAGCCAGGTCACTTTCTCTACTCTAAATCAGTGGTTCCCAATCTTTTCTTGACTTTGCCCAAGGACCACTCCCCAGCATTAGTACCAAAATCAGTTTTTCATCAACTTTGGATTCAGTTTGGTTATTTGGGGTGCTGATTTAGAAAACTGCATGGGATAGACCACACCAGCTCTAGTTTCTGATACAAAACATATGCCATCCAGTAGTCACCATCTGCTCGCCCACAGAAAACCATATTTAATAATCTAGAGCTGATGTGGTCTAGCTAATGCAATTTTCTGAATCAGCACCCCAAATAACACCAGGAACAGATCTAAAAACAAAGACACCAAAGCGCTCCCATTTCCAGGCACTTCATGGAATGGCTCCGCTCAGGGGGAGGGAGGCGGAGATGAAACAGGAGTCAGGGGGCTTGTTATTGCACCTTTCGTAGTTAGTCAGCCTCTTCCCTCCTCACATCCCCATTGCCTTGGCACTATAAGGGGGTTTCACGAGACCAGTAGCTCTCGTTGCAACGGTGAGGCTGCGAACCATATTTTAGTTCTTGGGATCACTGGTGGTCCATGGACCACAGGCTGAGAACCACTGCTCTAAACAGACCTTTATTATAGGGGTATAGGGTGGCAACCTGTGTTAGACGGGGTAACACTCTCCTTGAAGACACAGGTCCGCAGTCTGGGGGATCCTCCTGGACTCAGCACTGATGCTTGATGCTCAGGTGTCGGAGGTGGCCAGGAGGGCCTTTGCACAGTTAAAACTTGTGCAGCAGCTGTGACCATGGCTCGAGAAGTCTGACTTGACCATGGTGGTCCATGCCTTAGTTACCTCAAGATTGGACTATTGTAATGCACTCTATGTAGGGTTGCCCTTGAAGATGGTTCGGAAACTACAGCTGGTGCAAAGATCAGCGGCCAGATTGTTAACTGGAGCAAGTTACAGGGAGCGGTCAACCCCCCTGTTGAAACAGCTCCAATGGCTGCCGATAAGTTTCCAGTCGCAATTCAAGGTGCAGTCATCACCTATAAAGCTCTAAACGGTTCAGGACCTGCCTATCTGCGCGACCGCCTCCTCCCCTACGAGCCCACGCGGTCCTTAAGATCTTCCGGGAATGCCCTTCTCTCGCTCCCACCCCTGTCTCAGGTGTGACTGGTAGGGACGAGGGAGAGGGCATTCTCGGTGGTGACCTCCTGTCTCTGGAACTCCCTCCCCAGGGAGATTAGGCAGGCACCCTCCCTAGCCACATTCCATAAGGAATTAAAGACATGGATGTTTCGTTGTGCCTTCAACTGATGATCCCTATGACAAAAAATTGTACCGTGATCTATTTTCACTATTTAACCTGCATTCCTATATTACACCATTATTCATATATGTAAGTTAAACTGAGATGATCCTGATCCTGTTTAATTGCTCAGTTTCCATGATATCTCCTGTGCCATTTATGTTCCTATCCTCCTTATTGAATTAATTACCCTTTAATCCATTTGTATGTTGGCCTCCTTCCCCCCTTTCAAAATTGGGTTGCTGTTGCTTGATGCTTGTTTTTTGCTGTTATGCTGTTTTGTGTCATTTTAATTTGTAACTTGCAGTTGTTTTGCTTTTAATTATATGTTGGCTGGACTTGGTCCCATGCAAGCTGCCCCGAGTCTCCTTGGGGAGATGGAGGTGGGGTAGAAAAATAAAGTTCTTCTTCTAGCCATTACTTTTTCATGTACAGGTATCAAATCTGTTAGGTTTCAGAGTGTTGGGTTTTTTTTAGCAGATTATTTTGTAACTGACGAAGTTACATGGAAGAATTATGGATACATTTCAGTAAAAGCAATTCAATACATTTCAGCATATGAGATTAATCAATTGAGTCAGGTATGCCTTACATAGGTAAACAAGAATTTTTAAATCTAATAGAGACCACTTCCAGGGCTTCATTTTTCTCTCACTAAACCTACCTTTTTATGATTTCTACCTTGGTAGCCAAATCTCTAAATCTATGGTTCTTTAACAAGCTAGTGGTAGCTAGTGAGCAGGTACATCTATTCTTCACTTTTTTCCTCTTTTTGTTGTTCATGCATACTCAGCAAGGGATTCAGGAGGCAGCTGCTGTTCACCTTGAATGTTGTAGGAAGGCATCCATGACTATAAGTAAATCAGTTCAAATAGAATCCCAATTTCTTCCTGCTCAAACTTTATTGCATTGTCACTTCAACAGTAAAAGTCAGTGTTTCTCCAGTCCTCTCAACAATGCTAACAACAACAACAACAACAGTCATAATGAAAAAAGGGAGAAATGTGATATTGGCATACATTTAGGAAATTGCGAAGAAGCTGAGCACATTGGCTAGCTGGCTGTGTGTGTATCTGTCATAATAACAATAGTGCCTTAATATATATGTAAAGAATAGATGGAATGAAAATGCTATTCAACTGCAGTTCTATCAGTGTCAAAAATCCCTCTTGTCCTTTCCTCCCCCCCTCCCCCCTTCTTCTTTTTTTCCATATCATATGTAATCTGATCATATTAAACACCTTCATGCATGTTTGGATTTTCTGGAAGCACATCTTCAACATCATAGACTTTCTGATGAAAGCATTTCTTCTCTGTTATCATACAGAACCCATCGTCTTATCTACATATGAGAAAATTCCCCTGGAGAAACCCTTTAGAATACCAAAGGGTAACATGACATCAAGCAACCTGGCACATCAGTATTCAACAATTGTCAGTCACATAGCCCCAGCCTTTCTGTATGATTTGTATCTGAGGCTAACTGGGAAGAAACCAAGGTGAGAAAGGCATCCATACTGTGTTATGATATTCAAAGCCGTGATCCAGAGCAACTTTCAGCTTACAGTACATTGCAGAATTATTCACGCATACGCCTTTGCCTTTTTCAGATTTTGTTGTCTCGCAACCTGTAATTTTATTGCAGCACAATGTTAAAGTAAACAATAACAAACTGTCACTTAACCTTCCTGAATGAATACTTGGTAGAAATATCTTGGGCAATAGTTAAAACCCATCAGTCTTCTTGGTAAATTTCTGACAGCCCTGTGAATCTTGCTGATGTTGTCTTTGCCTGTTCTTCTTGGCAAAATTAAGCCATGATTTTCCAAAATGTGTAAAAGTGTGCATGTGCGGGGGAGGGGGGGGTTATGCCTAAATTATCATGTAAAAAGCAGTTTTGGATCTTTTCTAACCTTTTGGATAAGAAAAAAACCACAACCTTGAACCATACATTAAGTACATTGCTTTGTACACACTGAGTACTATTAAGTACTATTAAGTACTGCTAGATGCAAAAGACGGTTCAGAGACTGAGAACAGATCTGTAGATGAGAAAACTATCCAAAAGGTATCCCACCTATTCAATTGCATTGGCACCAAGAAGCCATTTGTACTGTGACCTTTTCTTTTCCAAAATTAAGACTTTTGATTTATTGTTAATTTTGATGTTATTCTTCCTATAGAATGAGATAAATGTTCTTAATAACCTATTCAAACAAACCTGTGTAGTAGATTAAGATCCTCCGGAGATTAAGATCCTCCAGGGAGGCCCTGCTTTCCATCCCGCCATTGTCACAGGCACGATTGGTGGGGACGAGAGACAGGGCCTTCTCGGTGTTTGCTCCGCGGCTATGGAACTCCCTTCCTGGTGAGATCAGGTCGGCCCCCTCCCTCCTGTCCTTTAGAAGGATGGTAAAAACTTGGCTGTGGGACCAAGCTTTCGGGACAGGGCAATAAAGCAGCAATAGGAAAGATGACCAGGCCAATTAGATTTGATGCGAATGACTAGAACGGTTTTAAATGGTGTATTTTAATATTTTGATAAATGTTTTATAATGTTTTATTGTATGTGAATCTCTGTCCTGGCATTGAATGTTTGCCATGTATATGCTGCGCTCCGCCCTGAGTCCCCTTCGGGGTGAGAATGTCAGAGTTTGGGGGTGATGCGCAGCAGAAGGATTGCTAGATCAGAAGACACTGTGTTTCAAATAAGGACTCTGCAGGCTTTCAGGTACAAAAGAAACTAAGTTTTACTAAGCACATTCAGACACGTCTTTCTACAGCGAGCTACAATCAAATCTCTTGGGAAGACAAACGGACAAACATCAGCGTGCTGGAAGAAGCAAAGACCACCAGCATTGAAGCAATGGTCCTCTGCCATCAACTCCGCTGGGCTGGCCACGTTGTCCGGATGCCTCACCACCGGCTCCCAAAGCAGTTGCTCTACTCTGAACTTAAGAACGGAAAATGGTGGACAGGAAAAGAGATTTAAAGATGGCCTCAAAGCCAACCTTAAAATCTCTGGCATAGACACTGAGAACTGGGAAGCCCTGGCCCTTGAGCGCTCCAGCTGGAGGTCAGCTGTGACCAGCAGTGCTGCAGAATTCGAGGAGGCACGAGTGGAGGGTGAAAGAGAGAAACGTGCCAGGAGGAAGGCGCATCAAGCCAACCCCGACCGGGACCACCTTCCACCTGGAAACCAATGCCTTCACTGTGGGAGAAGATGCAGGTCAAGAATAGGGCTCCACAGCCACCTACAAAATCCACAAGGAAACCCATCATGGAAGACCATCTTACCTGTCCAACAAGGGATCGCCTAAGTAAAGTAATCAGGAACAGTTCAAAAGCGAAAGTCTTTGCACATTGCTATCTCTCTTCCCTCTGGTTGAGACGGGATACTCCCTTCTGTTCTCAGCAAGAGCAAACATTATCTCACTTCTCTCAAGGTTACATAGTCACAGCCTCAATAATAAACATTCTGCATAGCATTTCTAAAACACAGTAGAATCCATCTTGGAAATACATATAAACACATTTAAAACACACATACATATCTAAATTAATCCTGACAGAGAAGGGCGAAATATAAATGTTTTAAATAAATAAATGAAATAATGTAATCGGCACACAAAAGTGTCTACTAAAGATATAAATCAAATTATTAGAAGTAAAGTCCAAAAATTGGAACAAAGATACAGCCCTTTGCCAGTAGGAATTTCATTTGTTTATTTGCTCATAGCAGATTTCTGTTTACATGAATAAATGCAGCACTTAAATCAATGAAGGTAAGAAAGAGCTGACATTGAGTTGCAGAATATTTTGATACCAAACTGGGCAGGAAAAACTTTTCTGAAATCAGACTACTTCTCTACTAAAGCAAAACGATCTTCTGCCAATTCTCTATTTTCTGCACCCATCTCCATGCTAGAAATGCACCACAGCATGTCCAGAAAATTTGATGGGATGATGTTAGAATTCTTCATCTTTGGGGGACCATGCATTTTGAGCCTGTAAATTCAAGGTTTTCCTATATAGACCTTTTTCTGAGTGGCTTTCCTTATTAACTTGCTGTCTGGAGCTGCTGCTGCTACACTGTCCACTCCACTGTTGATGCAACAGAGCCCTCTGCAGGACAGCTTGATATCTGCATAACATGTTCTCCAACCTTATAGGTATAGCAAATTGCCAGATCCAGAAATTGAAACAAGGGTGAGTGACTTTAAATTAATTGCTCAGAAGCTGGCCTTGACATGAAACAGCCTTTTCAATCAATACCAAGAAGGTTTGGCAGATGAAATTCTCATTTTGGGAAATCATTGCTTAATTTTGCCAAGAAGAACAGGCAAAGACAACAGCAAGATTCACAGGGCTGTCAGATATTTACCAAGAAGACTGATGGTTTTGACTATTGCCTAAGACATTTCTACCTTATTTCAGGAGGGTTAAGTGACAGTTTGTTATTGTTTACTTTGGCGTTGTGCTGCAATAAAATTACAGGTTGTGAGACAACAAAATCTGAAAATGACAAAGGCATATGTTTGGGGCCAAGGCTCAGGTAGCCCACATCTGTCTGCTTGATGAACCAGAGTTAGTGGCACGTTATCAAGAAAAATCTAAAGAGGGTTTTCATAAAACACTCTTTTCTCCTGCAGCTGTTTCTGCCTTAAGAAAAATTGGTAGAACTGAGACTATATAACTTTTTTTTTGTCGTGTCAGGAGTGACTTGAGAAACTGCAAGTCGCTTCTGTTGTGAGAGAATTGGCCGTCTGCGAGGACGTTGCCCAGGGGACGCCCAGATGATTTGATGTTTTTATCCTTGTGGGAGGCTTCTCTCATGTCCCCGCATGAGGAGCTGGTAGAGGGAGCTCATCTGCCTCTCCCCGGATTCGAACCTGCAACCTGTCGGTCTTCAGTCCTGCCGGCACAGGGGTTTAACCCACTGTGCCACCGGAGGCTCCTTAGACTATATAATGACTTATTTACTTTTACTTTACTACTTAGGCGATCCCTTGTAGTCCGAGGATGATGGTCCTCCAAGAGTGGTAACCTGGGGGTGGATCCATAGGTGGCTATGGAGCCCTATTCTTGACCTGCATCTTCTCCCACAGTGAGGGCATTGGCAGTCCCCGTCTGGGTTGGCTTGACGTGCCTTCCTCTTGGCACGTTTCTCTCTTTCGCCCTCCATTTGAGCCTCTTCAAATTCTGCAGCACTGCTGGTCACAGCTGACCGCCAACTGGAGTGCTCAAGCGTTCTGGGATTCTGGGAGGATTTTCCCAGCTGTGGTTAGAAGGGAGCTACCTCGATAGTTTCCGCAGTCTGTTATTTCCCCTTTTTTGAAGAGGGTGATGATAGTGGCTTCCTTGAAATCTGCTGGGATTTTCTTGGTCACCCACACTTTTTCAATGAGCTGGTGGAGTTGGTGTGTCAGTTCAGGTCCACCTCTTTAAAGATTTCAGCAGGGATCCCATCAGGTCCGCTGGCTTTGTTATTTTTTTGTTGGCTGATGGCATTGCTGACTTCTTCCAAACTAGGCAGTGTTACAACAACAAGCTCAACCAGATCACCACCAGGAAGCATTAACTCTTACCTTTCATTTCTGAGATTACAGGTGCTTTCAGACAGCCCAGGATTCCGCACCAAAGCATGTTGTTAAAACCCACTTTGGCATGGATTTATGTTCCCACTCCCACCAAAAAGACAAAACAAAACAAAAAATGGGCTTTCCCCAGGAGGTGTGTGGCTACATGCCATTCAGATTACAACTGAGATGACATTTAGCCACCCCAAAGTCCCCCAAATTTCCCCATAAAAATAAAATAAACTGTATCTGGCTGCCATAACATTGCTCATTGCACCCTCCTGCTGCTAGGAAATGATGCGCCAGGAGACCGGGGGGAGGGGGGGAGAGAGGAGGAAAATCCCTAATGATAATAATGATGATGATGATGTTGATGAAGATGAAGATGGTGATGATGTTAGGCACTTTGGACATAAAGCTTAATTGATTAGACCTTTGAGTGATCCAGGTGGGGTCTTCTCAACTTCTGATCATAGTTTTCAAATGTCATTCCAAACCAGAAACATTACAGTGGTCTTGGGTCTGGATTAGCAGATTCCATTAAAAGCATCTGATTTTGTATATAAATATAAAGCAAATACTAACCTGCCTATGAACCACTTAGAAGAATCCTACCCATTTCTTTCTATTTTTTTTTTCTTTAAGGATGATGAAGCTTCTCAACCGCCTACATAAGTCCATGGCAGCCTTTGAGTATTTTGCCAGCTGTACCTGGGAATGGAGTTCAGATAATATGAACGCATTGTTGAATCAGCTTAATCCAAAAGACAAGAAAGTATGTATTCATCAATATCATAGCTATTATCTGTAACATAGTGTGCAGAGTTCAGGATTGAAACAATTCAAATTTCCAACAGTCAGCTCCCCCACAACCTGGGTTGCTTGCCAAATTAAGAATCTGGCATTTTCTTGTGGTTTCCATAATCTGTGTGTGTGTTCCTCATCTATGATGGCCAACTCACTCTGACCAAGAAAATATCATGCTCCTTAATATGTTGAAAAGTAGATATATGGGCTTGAAATATCTGATCCTCCTCTTCCAAAAAGGCAACCAACTTATATTTGCTCTAGTTATAGGTAGTAAGTACCCACATCCTCCAACAAGAACACAAGCATAACACAGCTGTTGCAGGTGATTATAGTAGCTCCCTCATAATCTATGATCCATAGTCATAAGTAGGCAATAAAACAGAACTCTAGGTCTTCCTCTCAGCATTCCTACGCTAAATCCCAGTGAGGGAAAAAATGCCAGTTGGGCTTTCTATCCATTCTCCAAGCTCTAGGAACTCGGTCATTCAGGTCTTTTTGGCTGATTTTGTAAGGAAACACTTTTGAAATATTTTATATCGGTATTATGGCTGTGTAACTTAATAATTTCACATCACACTGTTGAGGAGCATTAGGAATAATATTCTGATATTCTGAAATAATTAAAACAGTTTAAATGACAAGGAATGAGTGTGAATTTTCAAGATCACCAGTTCCCCACAAAAATACATTATATTGTCCGTACTTTGAGTCTATGTAAACCAGTGGTTCTCAACCTGGGGTCCCCAGATGTTTTTGGCCTACAACTCCCAGAAATCCCACCCAGTTTACCAGCTCTTAGGATTTCTGGGAGTTGAAGGCCAAAAACATCTGGGGACCCCAGGTTGAGAACCACTGATGTAAACAGTTGTACCACTTTCATTTCAGGAAGTGTCTACCAGTGTTTACTCTGACATTCCACTTTCTCCAGGCTTTGGCAGCTGGGCAGAAGGGATGGAACCTATCTTATTCCATCATTTTCGGCTTTATGGTGTCCGCTAGGCATAAAAATTGTGGTGTGTATCAATTGGTGTCTGGAGTGATGCTAACCAGAGTGACAAAGCACTCAGAGGAGGGAGAGGCTAAAAGAGGGAGCAATTTCTCCCTCCCTCCCACTTTCCTTCTCTTCTTTTGCTTCATCACTCTGGTTATTATCATTATAGGCATAAAGCAGTGATTAGCATGATTATCTTGCCTGTTGTGCACCACAAAGTCCAGAACAATGTGGGGAAGGTACAAGTGGAGGCCCAGCACTGCCAAACTAGTTTCTGATGCTACTGAGCTGTGCAGACACCCACCAGCCCCCAAGCTGGCTCAGTGGCTGGCCATGCGGACCATGGCAACAGTAATCTGAAGTACCCCATCCCTCCACATTTGGGAATTTGACTTTTGAGGATTTGATTCATGCTGAAAGCCGATCATAGGATATGATGGAGGACCTCAAGATTCCTAGAGAGTTGACCATAAGGTTACGCTAGAGGAACAGATATTCCTAGGGAGGCACTCTCTCAAGAAAAAAAAATGTAATTTTATTGTTTGGAGTTTTCAACTTTTGCAGGGATACTGTGCCCCCCACACCTGTGAATGTGGAGGATTGGCTGTATTATCTTCAATAAATTATTGCATTATTGGAAGAATATATTTTAAGTTGTTGAGATATATCCTCTCCACCAGATGTTGATAGCTTATTTTAATTTCATGTTATTTGAAAGCTGCCTGAAAGCCCCAAACCACCACAAAAAGCTTTAAAATCATGCTTAAAGGTGGTGCCATTTGTGTGATGAATAAAGCTTTCCTTCTTTGCCTATCCTGCTAGAGGCAAAAAAAAAAACAGCAAAGAAGTTTCCCACAGTTCTGGTAATGGCATCCAGCCAAACAAAGCTCTAGGTTACACGTGCTTGCAACATTGGTGCATAGATGCAATGAGAAGCATACTATATTTCATCACAAATAGTTGCCACTGCATACAAGTCATACCGCCATTTGTGGGGTTCCAAAATTGGTGTTTTTGCTGTTCCACGCAGAATAGTTGCACCTTTTATTCACTCACCCATTCATGGGCAAGTGAATGAAGGCCTATGCTATCCTCTCATGCCCCTTCCTCCTTGGAGATACAGGACTTCCCTTGGCTGACAACCAAAGGAAGCCACATAGCTGAAAAGGGGGCAGAAACACAGGCGGCTGAAGCCTTATACACCCACGTGCCTGCCCCCTTTCTAGTCACAGGGCTTCATTCGGATGCCAGCCAAGTGAAGCCCCATACCTGCAGATTTTTTTCACCACATAATAGTCGCCACTGCATAATACTTGTACTTCTGCTTTTTTTCTGCCAAAAATGGTGGGGGAAAGTGTGACTTTTACATGGTGATATATAGTATTTTCTCTGACTCCCAAATATCCCGGACATCTCACTTTTGGTAGGACATCTTCAAAGTCTTTATTGGAGCAGTGTTATTACCAAGGTGCATGGAGCTCTCCCCACATCATTTGATGTCTAATACGTGGTGTTCATGGGAGGAGGAGGAGGCACGAGAAAAGCATCTCCATTCAAAGAACAGCAATATTCTGCTGACCTAAAACTCTGCATCTGTTTTGCTTTATAGAATATGCAAATTCAGGAACTACAGTCCCCCTTCCCCTCCATTTGTTGTATATCACTTCTATTATTCCTTTCCTCCCAATTCTAGTTATTCTGCTTCGATGTCCGCCAGCTGCATTGGTCAGAATACATGGAAAACTATTGCTTAGGAACAAAGAAATATCTTCTGAAAGAAGACATGGCTGGAATTCCTGCAGCAAAGCAGCACTTGAGAAAGTGAGACATACAACATTTCGTATACCTCAGCATCATATGTCATTTCACAGGGGTGCAACAACAACAAAAAAGAAGGGGGGGGAGATTCACCCTTATTGTGGCTCTTTTTTGTTTAAACAAGGTTTGTTCTTCCCACATATCTTCTTGGAAGGCAGATTTATGCTTTAAAAGTGCATCAGAAAGCACAGCTCTATTTAAAACAAAGTGTACAGAGAACAGTCTATTATTTTCAAGAGGAAAATAGATCTTTTAAAGCAGTGGTCCGTGGACCACCAATGGTCCTCAAAAAGGAAAATATGGTCTGCTGCCTTGCCATTACTACACTGTTGTCTTGAAACCACATGGCAAAGAGAGTGATGGGTCTCGTGAAAATCTTATAGTGTTGCGACAAAGGGGATGTTGGGAGGGGAGGCTGATTACCCACGAAAAATTATTACTACCACATCAGCTCTAGATTATTATATATGGTTTTCTGTGGGTGAGCAGATGGCAACTACTGGATGGCATATGTTTTGTATCAGAAACTAGAACTGATGTGGTCTACCCAATGCAATTTTCTGAATCAGCACCCCAAATAACCAAACCAAATCTAAAGTTGACCAAAAATCTGATTTGTAACCCTTTTGGTTACAAACGTAAGTAAGTAAAGTAAGTAAGTAAGTAAGGTACTAATGTTGGAGAGTGGCCCCTAGAATCATAGAGTTGGAAGAGACCTCATGGGCCATCCAGTCCAACCCCCTGCCAAGAAGCAGGAATATTGCATTCAAATCACCCCTGACAGATGGTCATCCAGCCTCTGTTTAAAAGCTTCCAAAGAAGGAGCCTCCACCACTCTCCGGGGCAGAGAGTTCCACTGCTGAACAGCTCTCACAGTCAGGAAGTTCTTCCTCGTGTTCAGATGGAATCTCCTTTCTTGTAGTCTGGTCAAAGTGGTCCCTGTTCAAGTGGTCCCTGGTTTAAAAAAAGTGGGAACCACTGTTTTAAAGCAAAAGCAAACTTCTTTCACCACTACCTTCAGTTGCAGGGGAAATTCATCAATGGTAGGAAAAATGTACAGGGGCCCAATGCAATGGGAATCATGCATTGCCCATCATCAACAAGAGCAGTATAATTTCAATGTAAAAGGAGCTCCATGGTTCTCCCTCTCTTTTGTTTCTATCTCACATGCCTTTAGAATTCAGCAAACAGTAGAAAGCACAAGCTGATTCTGGTTTTCCACAACTCATGGTTTCTCCATGTTCCTGTATAGTTCGAAGCAGAGCCATTAGAGTGCAAAAATCACATCAGCCCCATGGCATGTAATTGGGAGGGGAGAAGAATTACTTTTGCATCCTAAGTAATGTTTGCCATCAAACTGATGTTCTTCTCTTTCTGTTTTTGATTTTCTCTCCCCAGACTAAGGAATATTCAGTATGCAATAAAAACAACCCTTCTGGTGATCATCTGGCACATATTCATTGCAAAGTCACAAATGGCTCAGAACATGTGGCACTTTGTTTTGAACCTCTGCTACAAGTTCCTAAGCTACTTCAGAGCTTCTAGCACCCTCTGGCATTGAAATACCACTACAGTTAGTGACCTCCATCTCTTCAAACAACAACAAAGGTGCTTCAAAATTGCAAGTATCTTTGAACTGCCACATCATTGGATCAGCATTCAGCATATACCAGGATTGAAGATTTCAACATTTGGGAACATTTTTCTCCTCCTCTCAGCATAAAAAGCTATCTAAGACTAAGAAAGGAAGAGAGATTTTAAACAGTCTGAATGTGTCTTCGGCAATACTCAGTCAAGAATGTCAGAACATGAGTGGTGCTTTTTGTACACAAATGAGGCAAGTAGTTGCATCTACTGCGAGCTTTCAGTAAAGTTCAGCCTTATAAAGGGATACAAGATATTAATATTTAATTAGGAGAGTCTGTGGTTTTATTGAATTGCTTGTGAAAAACCATGCCTACCCATGTAATCAAAAGTGGAAAAAAAGTGGAATTGAACCTGGGATATATCACTGAATTTTCTCTGACCATTTTATGAATATAAATTATGCTTTGAATTTTAATGCTTGACTAAACTTGTTTTCCAAATGAAAATATAATTAATTTATTGCATGCAAAACATAATTCCTTCCTCAGCAGACACCCTCCCCTTCAATTCCCCCAACATTTAAAATACTTCAGAGGAAGACTAGCATACAAAAAAGACAAAAGGTCAGGAGAGAATGCTTCCAGATCATGGCCATATAGCCCAAAAAACCTACATCAACCCAGTAGCAATAGAGCACCTGGACACAATCTGCTTACTATGGAGAGCAATGTTGTGTTTCTATTTTAGGATGCATCTTACATTGTAGAATTAATGCAGTCTGGCACCACTTGAACTGCCACGGCTTGGTGCTACCCCGTTTCCCTGAAAATAAGACAGTGTCTTATATTAATTTTTGCTCCCAAAGATGCGCTAGATCTTGTTTTCAGGAGATGTGTTATTTTTCCATGAAAAAGAATTCACATTTATTGTGGAACAAAGAAAATGAGCACTTATTATATACTGTACAGTAGTTGTTAGTATATAATAAATATACCGGCCCTCACACACAGGGCCACAAAAAATAAGGGCTGTAAAGTATCTGGCTACCACACACTATCTGGAGACTGTTACAATCTCCCACAGAAGTTCCTGGACCATTTGACCAGCAGGGACGGTATTGCAGCTTCTGGCCACCAGGGGGAGCATGCTTCCAAACAAAAACTTTGCTAGGTCTTACTTTTGGGGGAGGCCTTATATTTAGCAAATCAGCAAAACCTCTACTAGATCTTATTTTCAGGGGAGGTCTTATTTTCTGGAAAACAGGATATGGAATCCTAGGAGTTGCAGTTTGGTGAGGTACCAGCAATCTTTAGCAGAGAAAGCTAAACCTTCTAAAATCACCATTCCACGATTCCATAGTGTTGAGCCGTGTAAGTTAAACCACCTTAAGTGGACAGTGTAGATGCAGTTGTAAGTTGCAGTAACTATTCCTTATATACATAAAACCTTCCCATGAGGCTAGGAAATGCTGTTCTTGCTTCATTCCTTGAAAATGTGATCCCAGGAAAACAAGGGGGATAGAACAGGTGATTGTGAGAGAAAACAGAAACTTGTTGGCAACTTTGGTATGGCTCAGGCAGTCCAAGAAGAAGAGATGGCCTCCCTGTTACTTGCTCCATACCCAAGTTCTTCTCCATGGCCTTGCTCCGTACTGGACTATATTATGACTGGCATCTGATGAAATTTGTCCTTTCTAGGAATCTTTAGTTCCTCAAGGCGAATTTGCAAGGGGAAGCAGCAGAGACAGAAGTAGCCAGTGGAAGGGGCCAAACATCCCTACCAAATTCAGCAACTATTTATCTCCTGGAAATGGCTGCTTCAATATCCACATTTTTCCAAAAGTCTGTATTCGTGATCCAGCAGTTCATGCTCTACTGGACATTGGTGGAACTTATGCTTTTGGGTCCACCAAGCAAAGTCAGCTTGTTTCTCCCTGAATGTGCAATGACATTGGATGGGTGCTAAGGTATATCCTATGCCAAAAGGATCAGTTGCAGAGGCAGAGGCGGCCCTAGGTAATTTTCAACGATAAGCAAACAGTATTTTGGCGTCCCGTCCCCCCCCCAACCAATCATTGATATATATTTTCTGTTCGTCGTGGGAGTTCTGTGTGCCATATTTGGTTCAGTTCCATCATTGGTGGAGTTCAGAATGCTCTTTGATTTTAGGTGAACTATACATCCCAGTAACTACAACTCGCATATGTGAAGATCTATTTTCCCCCAAGAGCGCCTCAAGAGCGCCCTGGGCAAAATCAACTAAACTGCGAATGCTTACTTTGCGTAATGGGTTGAGTTGCCCCTGCGCAGAGGCAAGCAATAAATGTCACACAGAGGTACTGAATAGTTCTTTGCACAACATTAGGAGGCTACTTAAATAGCTGCAACCTGCTCCTATTCCAAAATAAGTCACAATGATTTCTGAAACTTATGCTAATTCCATTCTATGATATTGAAGTGGAGTGAGGTTCCACCTAAAGGGGAATGAGGTTCCATCTAAACATTGCCCTCTCTCAGTGGTTGATGCTCCAAGAGCAGTCCATATCAACACAAACATGAAAGAACATTGGACCAAAATAACGGCTTTCAAGGCTGGCATCACTGGGGTGTTGTGTGGCTTCCGGGCTGTATGGCCATATTCTAGCAGCATTTTCTCCTGATGTTTTGCCTGCATCTGTGGCTAGCATCTTCGGAGGATTTTTTAAATCTTTACTGCCAACTGTTTTACCCTGCATCCCCTACTCCAGCCTTAACTGCCACGGAACAATTGATACATTACAACGGAAGTCATGGCACATCATCCATGCCCTCTGCAGGCCACAGTGGGGTGGCAATAAACATCCTGACACCACTGCCATTGCTCAAATCCTAAAAGCATCAACTCAGATAATGGGATATGCCAATACATATTGCCAAAAGATAGGTGAATCTCCAACTCTAACAAAATGTATCCATTAGGCCTGTTTGATCAAGAAAAAATTTGTTTCTAAAATCGATTTGTAATTGGGGTGTTTTTTTGTTTCGATATTTAAAATAATTACAAAACTTTCCCCCAAAAAAGTTTTGGTATTTACGAAATTTTGTAAATATTAACGAATTTTTAGAATATTTTTGGTATTTTTAAGAATAATATTAAAATAATATTAAAAAATATTTTAAAATGGAAAATTAACCAAAAAATGGCCCAAATGTGGACCAAACACAGGCAGGAGACAGCAACTGAGAGCACACACCAACAGAAGAGTCTTTTCTTTTTTAGAATATTTTTTAAGAATAATATTAAAATAATATTAAAAAAATAATATTAAAATAATATTAAAAAATAATATTAAAATAATATTAAAAAATATTTTAAAATGGAAAATTAACCAAAAAATGGCCCAAATGTGGACCAAACACAGGCAGGATACAGCAAATGAGAGCACACACCAACAGAAGTCTTTTCTTTTTTAGAATATTTTTTAAGAATAATATTAAAATAATATTAAAAAATAATATTAAAATAATATTAAAAAATATTTTAAAATGAAAAATTAACCAAAAAATGACCAAACACAGGCAGGATACAGCAAATGAGAGCACACACCAACAGAAGAGTCTTTTCTTTTTTAGAATATTTTTTAAGAATAATATTAAAATAATATTAAAAAATAATATTAAAATAATATTAAAAAATATTTTAAAATGAAAATTAACCAAAAAATGACCAAACACAGGCAGGATACAGCAAATGAGAGCACACACCAACAGAAGAGTCTTTTCTTTTTTAGAATATTTTTTAAGAATAATATTAAAATAATATTAAAAAATAATATTAAAATAATATTAAAAAATATTTTAAAATGGAAAATTAACCAAAAAATGACCAAACACAGGCAGGATACAGCAAATGAGAGCACACACCAACAGAAGAGTCTTTTCTTTTTTAGAATATTTTTTAAGAATAATATTAAAATAATAATAAAAAATAATATTAAAAAATAATATTAAAAATATTTTAAAATGGAAAATTAACCAAAAAATGGCCCAAATGTGGACCAAACACAGGCAAGAGACAGCAAATGAAGCAAGCAGCACTCACAGCAGCAAGGAATGAATCCAATCCCAGTTGCTAGCAGCCATTGCCAAGCCAACCCAATGCAAACTCCCTCGCCCTCTGCAGCAAGCTACGGGCCGCGCGGAGCCGCTTTGAAAGGGCTCGCCGGCCAATCAAAAACAGACAGCCACGGACCCATGGTGGTGCACTGCTTGGGAGCGCCGGATTGGCTCCCATGCACCAGCACTCCAGCAGCCTCCACCCCATTAACGAAACGAGCGGAGGCTCGTTAAAACTCTGGGGGCTGCTGGTTCGATATTTATAAACCCTTCCGGGTTTGGAAATATGTTCAATATCGCTTCGGAAATGGTAAAATTAACGAATTATTAACGAATTAACGAATTAACGAACGAAATCGCACAGGCCTAGTATCCATGTTTTCAAAGCACAGAGGAGACGTAGGCCAGTTGCTCTCACAAGAATGATATTCTCCTTTGTTGCCTCTTGTATCTATACTAGGGAGGTAGGCTGCTTTGATATGTCAACATGGTATGGTGGTTTGGACTCCAACTGGAGATTAGGGTTCAAATCCCTGCTTAACCACAGAAACCTTTTGGATGACTTTGTGCGAGCTGCACACTCTCAGAGTCAGGAAACCCCAGTGACAGAATCATCTTAGGATCACCATAAATCAGAAACCAAGATAACAAATCTCTGTCGTTGAGGATGAAGTCATATACAGATTTTGGTGATTCCATCTCACGGTTTTCTTGGGCTGAGAGTACGTCACTCACCCAAAGCTCCTCCAGTGGGTTTTCTTGTCTGAGCAGGGATTCACACCCTGGTCATCAGAGTTATAGCCCAACACTCAAATCACTACTGGCTCTGTAATAAATCTGTTTTGTTTCCTACATGTGTATCTGTTCCATATAAGATCTGCAATGGAAAATTGGGCACACTTTCAGCATTTGGGATTGTTCCTCTGTTAGTTCAGAGTAAAAGCCAGAGCAGAGTTACTGAGGGGAGCCACCAGCCATTCCTGGACATTACAGATCTCTTTTAGCATTTGATTTCAAAGCAGGGAACATGACCAGAATGGCCTCTCATTGCTTTTGCTTTGTAAGTCGGTCCTACATGTTCCTACTCTGAAATTAGTTAAAACATCAGAGCAATTCCCAGGTAAATGCACAGAAGATGATAGGCACTTACAATCTCTAGATATCAGGTGTGTGATGTTGTGATTTGACCACAACTCTAGAGATTCCTCTCCATTCGCTATGCCAGCTGAGAATGCTGTTAGCTGTAAGCCATCAACGTCTGTAAATGGCTCAAAAAGCCTGTGGAAAAGTTACATGGCTGAAATGGACAAATTAACATGTCTACTAAACGAAGGGACATTGAAAATTTTTTGCATAAAGAAGAGAAGGGCTTGCCAATTCTGAGTTTTGAAGGATAAATTAAAGTTTTTTTGTTGATGTTGTTATGAGTAAAGTGATGCCTAGATGGTGAAGCATATGATATTAGCTTTCTTTGTGACTAGATTGGGATAGACCGGAGGTCACCTATCTTCCCCCCTTTTCCCCCTATTTTTCTTTTCCAATTTTTCCTTATTTTTAAGAGAAGGATGTATAAAAGGAGAGGGTGTAGATAAAAGCAATGTTACATGGAAATGACGTGTGTATAAATATGAGCACCAATGGAAACTAAGTGTAAGCAAAATATTGTAAAGTTAAAACAATAAAAATAATTTATTTTAGAAAAAGTTACATTTTTATACTAAAAATCTCCACCAACTTTACCAGCTGTGAAACTCTGAGAGTTATAGTACCAAGATGTAACTTTCCCAAGCTCTGCAAATGGAGGGATGAACAGAATGGGATAAAGGATAACAACAAATCTATGTTGCAAACCTTGCTTTCTTCTGCTTCTATGGA